GATATGTCTCTCCCACAGTGTTGCCTTTTGTCTCTCCCTCTCCCACTCTCTCTTAAAAAAAAAAAATCAATGGAAAAATATCCTCAGGTGAGGATTGACAAAAACAAAACAAAAACACACAAACAAATAAATGTACTACAAAGATAAAAATATTAAAAAAAAAATACAACGAGTCCTAGCTGGTTTGGCTCAGTGGCCTATGGACTGGGGAGTCCTGGGTTCAATTCCAGTCAAGGGCACATGCCCGGGTTGTGGGCTCGATCCCCAGTAGTGGGCATGCAGGAGGCAGCCGATCAATGATTCCCTCTCTTCATTGATTTTTTTTATCTCTCTCTCCCTTCCTCTCTGAAATCAATAAAAATATACTTAAAAAAAATAAATTGATCCAGGTCAGTGTGGCTCAGTTGGTTGAGCATTATGCCATGCATCAGGAGGTCTCCAGTTTGATTCCTGGTCAGGGCACATGCCCAGGTTGCAGGCCTGATCTCCAGTGTGGGGTGTGCATAGCAGAATGACCATCTGGACATCCTTCTGGCTGACTGTCCCTACAAAGCCAGGATGGAGAGGGCCGGCCGAGGCTGTGAGGGGCTGCGAGGGAAACCTGGGTCCCAAGTGCCAGAGGGAAGCTGGTGCCGGCAGCTGGGCGAAGGAAGGTCTACTCTAGCATGAATTTTGTGCATCAGGTCTCTAGTGGGTAAATATTATAATATACTGCAAAGTTAAAAAGAAGAAAAACAAGCCTATATGTCTCAAAATAGTATGAATGGTATGATTCAATTTTTTAAAATATATTTTTTATTTATTTCAGAGAGGAAGGGAGAGAGAGATAGAAACATCTATGATGAGAGAGAATCATTGATTGGCTGCCTCCTACATGCCCCACACTGGGGATTAGGCCTGCAACCCAGGCATGTGCCCTTGGCCAGGATCAAACCTGGGACCCTTCAGTCTGTAGGCTGACTCTCTTCAAACTGAGCCAAACTGGCTAGGGCTCAATTTTTGTTTAATAATGTTACAGTAGCTACATCTGGGTAGTAAGGATAATAAGTAATTTTCTCTTTTTTTGCATTATGTTCACTGCACAAACAATAGTAGTATATTTCCCAGGTGATTAAAAATGAAGGGCTCTGGGTATCGAGAATGAAGAGCAGAGTACAGTTGTAGTCAGATAAGGGAGCTGGGATCGTTCTGGGGAGCAGAGAGTAGGAAAGCAATACCGTATGCAGGACCTTACAAAGCACAGGGCGGTGGCTAGGACTAGGGCTGGGTGAGCCTGAGGGCGGGGAGGTGCCTCTCACCACTTCTCTAGCTGGAGAAGTTCCAACCCTCCGTCTGGGGGGGCTCCAATGCAGGTTTTCTGCTGCTGCACTTTCCACTGCTCCAAATTGGGTAGCAGTAGCTCAATTAGGGTAGTTAATCGGCCCAGCAGTCCTCTGGAGGCATCCAGCACCTCCTAAGAAAGACATAAATGAGTGTGGAGCACCTCTCACCACCATCCTCCACCAACTGGGGATAAAGGGACAACAAAGCCAAGGCCAAGAGGCCAAGGCTCCCAGGTCCCGCGTCTTCCCCAGCCCCCTGCTGCCCACGCCCTCTGTTCTTTGCCTCCCACCTTTCTCCTTCTGTCCAGTTCATTGAGAGTTGCCTGCAGAACCTGCTGCTGTCTGGTCTGATGGGGGTCCAAAGGAGATGTCCTCACTGGAATGGCAGGAGCAGGAAGTGAGACAAGTGCTCAGACCTAGGGCTCCTTCCCCTCATCTTCCTGACCTAGACCTCGGTCAGGGTTGGGAAGGGGGAATTCTGACGGGAGAGGAAGGGGAACCAAAGCAAAGCACGGATCCCTCTGGGCCCGCAGGCGAATTCTCAGTGATCATGTTGAAACAGAAGCCTAATCTACCTACTAAGGCAGTTTCCCCATGCAGCTCCCCGAGCATTCACTACCGTCCCTCAGCCACACCTCCAGCCCAACCCCCACAACAAACCCTGGCACTTGTAGCTTCACCTGGCAGCAGAACTACAACTATAGCTAGTGAGGTGTAGCCAAAGGTGATTACTTTTTACTGGGGCTTTTCCCTTCTGCTCAGTCCTACCCCCGGCCTTCCAGCAGGAACCTGTCCTCCTCCCACCCCTCAATGTCTTCCTACCTGGGCCCTGAGCCTTGAAGCGGAAGAGGAAGACATCCTGCAGGTCTTTCAGCTGGCTGATGGCCTTCACCAGCTTCTGTAGAGGGGAGGAGACCAGCTGAGGCTGCTTCTGTGGGAGGAGGCAGGCTGGTTCTGCCCACCCTGACTCTTGCCACATCTACCAACCTCCATCATGGCCTTCAGTTCCAGGATCCGGGATTCAATCTCATGCTGCTGGCTCTGCACAGGCGCTTCGAGGGCTGGCTCTTCTTGCTCCTGCAATAAGAGGCTCTGAGCACATTCAACTCTGACCTTTTATCCCTAAAATCCAGTCCTGAAATTATATGACAGGCTATTTGGGGATCTTATTTCGAGACAAATTTCCTGAGTCCTTTCCATGGTCCCTCTCCGCTCCAGGGGCTTTTCATATCATCAGCAAACTGCTCTCACCACTTGAGCCCTCTGAGCCTGCATCAGAATTCTCTTTTCTTCCAGAAGGAGATTAAAGATCATCTCAGCCAATTGGATGGGGCCCCGGGGTAAGGCCTGCAGGAGGCAAAGAAAGAACATTGATCCCATTCAACTGCCTTAAGTGAACATTCCCATCAGTTATGCAATACTTCCCCTCCTTCAGGGCCCCTAGCCCTTCCCTTTCTCACCACAGGTCCACAAACCCTAGTCCAGCCGTGGGCAAACTATGGCCCCGCGGGCCGGATCTGGCCGTTTGAAATGAATAAAACTAAAAAAAAAAAAAAAAAAAAAAAGACCGTACCCTTTTATGTAATGATGTTTACTTTGGATTTATATTAGTTCACACAAACACTCCATCCATGCTTTTGTTCCAGCCCTCCGGGTCCAGTTTAAGAATCCATTGTGGCCCTTGAGTCAACAAGTTTGCCCACCCCTGCCCTAGTCTCTTCTCAACAGCTTCATCTAAACACTGACCTTCTCTCTGCCAGCGATCCCCCAAATCCAGACTCTGTTCCCCTTTCCCCAGGGCTGCCCCTGTCCCTTTGCCCCTCCAGGTCCTGTTCTATACCCAAAACCGTACTCTAAAGCTCCCATTCCCACTTTGTTATTGCCACTCCTCCAAGTACCTGAATGTCCCGATAGAATTTTCGCAAGTTATGCTGTAACAACAAGCACTCAGGGTCCTGGCTGCAGCGGGCACACTCATAGTTGAGTTGGTCCAAGAAGTGGAAGCACAGCATATTAGCCTGGGAATTATCATTGCCCAGCGCAGCTTCCTGCCTGGAGACCAGGAATGACAAAGATTAGTATCTCCGCAGGGTTGCTCCTATCTTCAGGCCTTCTAACCCATCCTGCCCTTGGTGTCTACAGGATCCTATGGCCTCAGAAAAAAAGAACCCATTTTCCTCATTCCCCACCGCCCAGCTTTCTGACAGCCTCACCAGTTCTGGTCTTCAATCCAAACAGCCATGTACTGTCGAATGTCCACCGGCAGGAGGCTATTTGTGTAGAGCTGGTGCAGCTGATCCTGAAATCGGCTGTCGAGATTCTGCAGCATCTCCCACTGCGCCATGTGGGATCTGAGTCTGAAGGATTTCGGTTCCCAATTGTAAAGTTTGCTGGACTAAATCACCCACAGTGTCATGATACTTTATTATTACAATTTAAAAATGTCTTTCATTATACAGGTAAGAAAAAAAAGGCGGGTGTCTATTGATTTCAGAGAGGAAGGGATGGGGAGAAAGACATAGAACCCACTCCCAATCTTGGTCACTTCCCATCTTCCCCAGAAACCAATATTATTAGTTTGGTACATATTCTTCCAGGGAGTACCATTTAAGAGTCCTTTTTGTTTTAATGGTAGTTTTCAAACACACACCGAAATAGAGTGAATAGTACAAGGATTGTCCATGTACCAATCCTTCATCTTCAACAAACATTAATGATGTTTCTACCATTTGTAAAAGCTATCTCCCCCAATACATCTATCTATATAAAAGACTAAGTGACCACTATGACCAGTCAACTGCTCGACTGGTCAACCAGTCGCTACGATGATGCACTGACTACCAGGAGGCAGACACTCAATGCAGGAGCTGCCCCCTGGTGGTCAGTATGCTCCCACAGGCAAGTTCTCATGGCGGGCCAATATCCCCCTGGCCAGCCGGCCCTGATCGGCCCTGATTACGGGCCAGGCTGAGGGTCCTCACCAGTGCATGAATTTGTACACTGGACTTCTAGTTTATTACAAATTTACTAGAGGCCTGGTGCACAGATTCATGCCCCAGTGGCATCCCTTGGCCAGGCCTACGGGATCAGCTGAAACCGGCAGTCCTGCATCCCCCAAGGGATGTAGTAGTGCCGAAGTGGCAGGAGGCTGGGGAGGAGTATGAGCCCTGGCCGGGCACCGTGTTGCTCCTGCTCATCCTGGCCCCGCTGTGCCTGCCCGCTGCCACCACCGCTTGGTAGGCTTGCTGCCACTCTGCTGTGATCTCCACACACCTGTCCTAAGGCAATACTAGCGCGTGCTTGCCAGCCATGACCCCAGCGTTTGGTGCCCGTTGGTCAGCTGAGCAGTGCTCCTACTATGGGAGCGCACTGACCACCAGGGGGAAGCTCCTGCATTGAGCATCTGGCTTCTGTGTGGTCAGTGCACATCATAGCTACTGGTTGAATGGTCGAACAGTCAACTGGCTGCTTAGGCTTTTATATATATAGATATGTTTGTATTTGTTTATGCTAGAGCATTTAAAGATAGTGTGGGTCATAAGTATTTATTTCAGCATGATCCCTGCTCGCTCCAAAGCTTTATTAGGGGCTGAAACCTCCTTGGAGATAAAATCTATATGTATAAAAGACTGATATGCAAAGTGTCCCCTTGGGAGTTTGACAGGGAGACTGGGAGTTCGATTGCTCATGCGCTGACCACCAGGGGGTGGTGCGGAATGAAGGAAGGCCCTGGCGGGTGGCTGGCAGCTGGGGAAGGAAGGCCCTGGCCGGCAACCGTAAGGCCCCTATGTGTCCTGATTGCTGGCCAGGCCTAGGGACCCTACCCGTGCATGAATTTTGTGCACTGGGCCTCTAGTATCCTATATAATAAAAGGCTAATATGCAAAATGACCCAACAGCGGAATGACCAGTCACTATGACACACACTGACCACCAAGGGGCAGACGCTCGATGCAGGATCTGCCCCCTAGTGGTCAGTATGCTCCAACAGGGGGAGCACCATTCAGCCAGAAGCTGGGCTCATGGCAGGAGAGCGCAGCGGCGGCTGTGGGAGCTAAGGCAGTGCAGGGAGCAGGCCTAAGCCAGAAGTCGGACATCCCCTGAGGGCTCCTAGACTGCAAGAGGGCTCAGGCTGGGCGGAGGGATCCCTCCCTGCACCTGAGTGCACCAGTCCTCTAGTACTCTATAAACTGCTCTCCAAGTAGGAAGGAAGAGCTCCATTCTAGATGTTTAAAAGCTGTGCAAGGGGCCCGACCAGCGTGGCTCAGTGGTTGAGCGTTGACCTATGAACCAGGAGGTCACCGTTGGATTCCCAGTCAGAGCATATACCTGGGTTGTGGGCTCGATCCCCAGTGTGGGGTGTGCAGGAGGCAGCTGATCAATGATTCTCTCTCATCATTGATGTTTCTCTC